TTGCCAGAGAGACAGAGAGAAAGTGAGAAATCACCACACAAGGGGATATCCACACCCAGTCCCTTCTCCTTCATCCTCCTCTCTGGATTTTGGGCATGCACACACATGTGCCCAGCATGAGTTTTAAGCCACCAGGTCTGGGACTCAAACCGTGGTCAACTATGTGGGAGTCTCGTGATGTAATCATTATGTCATCTGCTGGTCCCTAACCTTATATATTTACCATCAATTTGAGGCTATATGTCAAACATGATTATTCTCTTTCTCCCAAACACAGAGACCTTCAGAGAATTAACCACTTCATCCCATCTTAAGTGTTATCTAGTATTCTAACTTCACTTTTCACACTTTCCAAGTTTTTATTATTAGTATTATTTTATAAGTTCAGTGCTTACCTTACTAGATAATCTATTTGGTTGTCAGGAAAGTCATGACACATTTCTACATAGAAAAACTTAGAAAAATACATCATGACTTTCCCAACAACCTAATTAAGTAACGACTCACATTTGCCAATTACAATTTTTAAAAATTTACTACAGGGCCATGTGCTCACCAGAGAGAGAGACAGAGAGAGAGAGAAAGCCCTCCCCAGGCGGATGGCCACACACAGTTTCTTCCCCTTCATTCTCTCGAGACGTGGACACACACATGCACCTGGCACTTTTCGAGCTCCCAAGGCCAGGACTTGAACCTCATACTCGGTCATGTGCAATCCAGCCGCCTTAACCACCATGCTGCCACCGGCTCACCAGTTAGGTTATTACCATCCCTCACTGCACCTCATTTTTCCTCAGTTTTCTCTTTTCTGAAGGATACGTACAAGTATTTTTTCCGTAAGACCCAGTGAGTGATAAATTGTATTTCTTCTTTCAATTTTTAAAAGTTCTGTTGCCATCCCCAAATGGGAGTCTCGTTTGCATAAAGTAATTGACGCTTTGCTTTAATATTCTGAAAGATCATTTCATTGCTTTCTGTTTCTGCTGTTGCTGTTCCTCGTCTAATTACTGCTCCTCCAGGCAGTTGGTCTTTCTCTGGCTGCGTTTCGGAGTGTGTGTGTGTGTGTGTGTGTGTGTGTGTGTGTGCGCGTGTGTGTGCGTGTGTGTGCGTGTGTGTGTGTGTGTGCGCGCGTGTGTGGTCGCTGACGTCCACTGTGATTTTGTAGGTAGGTACTTATTTTAATCTACTCTACTCGAGTTTCAGTATGTTCCTTAAACATAAAGATTCACATTTCTAGTCAATCTGGGACAAGTAGCAGACGCTGTCTTTTCAAACCTTACCTGTCCCACATTTTCTTTCTTCTTTTCTCTGGCATCCTGTTGGTGGACTCTCCCCCGTCTCTCCTCCATCTTTCTTTCTGTAATGGCCAGAGGTTGTGCCCTCACTGGAGCGACAGACGGAGAGGGGAGCACAGGGAGCAGCACCCCAGTGGGGCATGGCCGTGCTGCAGTCTCGTTCCCCATTCTCCATCTTGTCTGAATTTGGGGACCGCACACATGCACCCAGGATGCTTTTCAAGCCACTGGGGCCAGAATTCAAACTGCGGTCAGCCATGTGGGACCTGACTCTCTCTCTGTCTCTCTCTTTCTCTCTCTCTCTCTCTCTCATCCTCTTTTTTTAAGAGAGATTTGGGGCATGCGTGCTTGCCGGAGAGATAAAAAGTGAGAAATCCCCCCCAGGGGAGATGGCTATACCGCAATCCCATCTGCTCCATTCCCTTCTCGGGATCTTAGGCACTCACACACGTGAAACTCACTAAAAGTGAGTTTCCAGCCACCAGGGCTGGGACTTGAACCACGGCGGACTACATGGGAGTCCAGCAATGTAACTATTATGCCATGTTCCCAGGATCTGACTCTGAGCCACTAGGCTGCAGGACCAGCTCACCTCCCCCACGTTTCTTCCCTTCCTTCGTTTTCCATCCCTGTGAATCTGTGCCGCTTTCTGGATGTCCACCAAGACTCAGCGTCTGGGTCCCTGGCGCTCTACTTAACTCTCTCCTTGGCTATGCTGGCTGTGCGATCACGTTTTCCCTTCTAGAAGCTCTACCCAGCTCTGAACTTTGCCTGCTCTCTTTCCTAACAGTGCACCACGCCCCCGCCGGCCCCACCAATCTGCTCTCTGTTGTTCCTGCTTTCTCCGGCCCTTCTCTACCTACGAAGCCAGACTCCTCTGCATCCCACGGGCCTCATTTTACTTTATAGAGAAGGGAGTTGTCCAATCCTAGAATTGCGAAGGCCAGTTGGGGGCGGGCCCCACAGCCGGGCGGTTAAGGGAGCCTGATCCCACAGAGCTGACTAAAGTTTGAATCCCTGTCCCAGTGGCTTGAAAAACATGCCGAGCATGTGTGCACGTGTGTTGGAAATTTTGACAACACGGGGAAATGGAGGAAAAGAGATTGTGGCATGACCACGCCCATCGAGGGTGCTTTCTCCCCCTCCCTCTCACCGTCTTCTCTCTTTCACTCTATGGCAATTAGAAAAAAAGAAAATTTTAAGCAAATTAAGTCTTTAAGTTACATTTATTGTAGTGGGTCTTCAGAAAAGTCATGACGTATTTTTCTATCTCTTTCTGTGCAAAAATGCATCCTGACTTTTCCGACGACCCAATAATTTTGGTTTTGACACACACTCGCTATAATAGAAAGCCCTTACCTTGCAGGGCAGAACGGGGTGGTGGGGTGACATCACCCAGCTCACTCGGGCGACTGCAAGAGATGAGTTGACAAAGCAAAGAAGGAAGCGGGAGAGGAGACACCTGAGAGACATGGCAGGTCACCTGGGAAAGAGGAAGAGGACAGCCGCCTGCATGTACTAGCTCACCTCTCCGGTGCGTTTTGCCCGGTGCACTGAGACGTGGCATTCCACGGCAAATCCTAGGCCAGACGGCGAGCTCACATCCACCTGCAGGGCTGTTCCAAGAACAGTAGCTCCGACTCGCCCCTCTGGCCCCCAGTATGGCCGCCTCTGCAGTGAAGCAGTGTTCCTCCTGGTGAGGTGGAGCAGCAATCAGGGATGGCTTGACCTGGGCACAGGAGCCAGGGCCCAACTCCTGCTCGTGGGGTGTTTCCGGGGAGGCCATCAGAAAGTATCACAGATGAGACGGCTTACATGACATGAGCTGCCTGTCTCCGGTTCTGGAGGCTGGAAGTCCAAACCAAGGTGGCAGGAGGACGGGTTCCCTCTGAGGGCCGTGAGGGGAGGATCTGTCCTAAGCCCCTCTTACTGCTGCTGGTAGCTTTGGCTCGTGGCAACATAACTCCAGTCTTCACCTGCTGCTTTCCCCATGTCCTCGTCTGTCTCCGACTTCCCCTTTCCATGAGAATGACAGTAGGGTCTACCCTAATGACCTCGTTTTAAATTGATGGCATCTATAAAGGCCCTGTCTCCAAATAAGGTCACTGTTATGGTTCGAATCATGGTTTGTCCCCAGAGTTTCATGTTTTGGAATTTGGTGCTGGGAGCTGGTGAGGCCCGATGGGCAGCGATTGGCTCACGGGGACTGTATCATGAGGTCGCACTCCCTGGAATAAATTAGTGATGTCTGGGGAGACCCAGCGAGTTGTTTGTTTGTTTATCTCCCAGAGAGTTTTAAATCTCTTGAGAAGAGGTTAGATCTCGTGAAAGCCGGCTGCTATAAAAGAAAAAAAGAGAGCAAGCTGCTCGCCCCTCCCTGCAGGTGCCCGTCCTCTGTGCTTCCCTTGGCCTCGCTGAGGGCTTACGGGACTCTCCAGCCACCGACATTGTGAGTTTGTAAATAAACTTCTATCTTTATAAAATTGCCCAGGCTCCTTTCTATTAGCAGTACTAAAACAAAGAGGACAGGAGGTGACAGGGAGGTTAAAGAGCTGGAGCCCACATGGCTAACTGTGTGGTTCGAGTCCCGGACCCAGAAATTTGAGAATCGTGCCAGGCGCAGGTGTGTGCGTGCCCAAAATCTGGAGAAGAGAACGGAGGAGAAGAAACTGCAGTGTAGCCAGTCCCCTAGGGGGTGATTTCTCACTTTTTCCCTCTCTGCCTCTCTCTCTCTCTCTCTCTCTCTCTCTGGTGAGCACACGCACCCTACAGCAAAAAACAAAATAGGCATTCACAGGTACTAGGGAATCAGGACTTCAACACATGAACTGGGAGGGACACAACTGTTCCCATAAACAGAGGAACGCGTGGGGAGCAGGTGGCACGGTCAGACCTAAGTCAGGAGAGGCACTGACTGAGGGCAGTTTGAAGCAAATGGGCCCAGAGGAGTGAGCGGAAGCCATGGGCCCGGTATCGTCCAGGGGGAGACAGAGCCGACGATGGACCAGAAGCTCAGGCAGATGCCGGGAGGGCTAGCTGGGGCCAGAGCTGGCCCGACGACTGTGCCAAGCTGCATGCAGAAGTGGGGCAGTCAGAGGGCCTCACCTGTTCAGGCGCGACTAGGAGGGACCTAAGGACAGGTCCGCGGTGAGTGCAGTGAGTCATCCTCAGCGGTTTTTTCTGTGAGGTTGAAATCCAGACGCCCTGCTAAGAGTAGGAGGCGACAGGGTGACTCGGGCAGGAGAGACCTGGAAGGCCCAGTGCCCAGTGGGGCTGGAACCTGGGAGCAAATTCGAGGACTGTCAGGTGGTCCGGATTGTTCTGCCGTGTCCGGAGGTTGGGATCCTGTAATGAAGCAATCCCACTCAGGGCCTGCGAGAAGAGGGCAGGCGGGTTCATGAGAGGCTGGGGATGCACAGGCCTGCTGGGGAGAAGGGGTGGAGCTGACGCGTGCAGGAGGGAAGCAGAGACCCTACAGCAAAAAACAAAATAGACATTCACAGGTACTAGGGAATCAGGACTTCAACACATGAACTGGGAGGGACACGACTGTTCCCATAAACAGAGGAATGCGTGGGGGACAGGTGGCACAGTCAGACCTAAGTCAGGAGAGGCACTGACTGAGGGCAGTTTGAAGCAAATGGGCCCAGAGGAGTGAGCGGAAGCCATGGGCCCGGTATCGTCCAGGGGGAGACAGAGCCGACGATGGACCAGAAGCTCAGGCCTATGCTGTGCCGAGCTGCATGCAGAAGTGGGGCAGTCAGAGGGCCTCGCCTGCTCAGACGCTACTAGGAGGGACCTAAGGACAGGTCCGCGGTGAGTGCAGTGAGTCATCCCCAGTGGTCTTTTCTGTGAGGTTGAAATCCAGACGCCCTAAGAGTAGGAGGCGACAGAGTGACTCCGGTAGGAGAGACCTGGAAGGCCCAGTGCCCAGTGCTGGAACCTGGGAGCAAAACTGCTGGGTGGTCTGGATTGTCCTGCCACGTCCGGAGGTTGGGATCCTGTAATGAAGCAATCCCACTCAGGGCCTGCGAGAAGAGGGCAGGCGGGTTCATGAGAGGCTGGGGATGCGCAGGCCTGCTGGGGAGAAGGGGTGGAGCTGACGCGTGTGGGAGGGAAGCAGAGGAGAGAGATCACAGACCACAGGTTCGGCTTTGAGGGAGAGG